TTATAGAGATCATATTTTTGGATTTGAAATTTGAGTAAAGAAAAATTAGAAAGGGTTAAAGCCGATAAGGAATCAAAAATTTGGATCGAATTGGAATGTTACAAAAGTTTTAAGGATGTTATAAAATGTTTGGAAATATTATTTTAATATTTTAGATTAGAGAAATTTGGTTTGGAATTGTGCAATTTTTTAGATTTAATCGAAATATTGAAATTTAGTGACTAAAACGCAATTTTTGGAAATTCAAGGGGAAATTCGGAAATGAAAGTCAAATTAATTCATATTAGACTTTGTAAATTGATAATGATCAGATGGCTTGGTTTTATGGTGAATATGAAAATTCATTAATGGCAAAAATGGAAATTCCTATTGGATTGAATAAAAAATATGCCATCATAATATATATTGCCATGTGATAGATTTATTTATCATTAAATATCAATCATGGAAGAGCATTTCCAGCTTCTACTTCCTCCAAGGGCCGGCACTTTCAAGAAAGAAAGGTAAACATTTTTAGTTTCAATTTTGAAGCTATTTCTTGAGAATTAGACTCAGTGTAGTTAGGAAAAATACTCTACTTTCAATTCTCTACATTTTGACATGAATATTACAAGGGTTCATGTTCAAGTTCATCTTGAGTTGATGAAGGAGATGTTGATTATTGTGTTTTATGGGTTTTGAAGAGTTAAGTGATTTTAAAGAATTGGTTGTAAGAAAGGATGAAGAACCTAAGAATGAAGTTAAAGATAACAGTTTGGATTTTTAAATCAGGCAGTAGGTTCGAAACTTCACCAAAAATTATATAAAAATAATTTCGAGGTTATTTTTATATATTTATGTTCGTATTTTGATCTAGTTTCGTTTAAAATAAACGGGGATCAATTTCAAGATGTATACAAAAATATATGAATTTTTAACCAAGAAAAGGTCAGAAAAATTGGACAACAGATTCTGCAAAACAGATTCGTATATCAAAACAGATTCTACAAAATTGGACTACCTTTATATGGATAGATTCGTATTCGAGTTTAGTTTTCAACGAATGAAACGGAATTGAATTCCAGTGTGTATATCAATACAGAATATTGATTCTTTAAAGGTAGTGTGAGTGGTATGAATCTGGAAAATTGATGAATTGTTGTTTGGGAATTGAAATGAGTGTAAGATGTGAAATATGACTATTTTGGAAGTTTGAAAAGATTTGTGATTTAAGTACAACTCACATAGTTTGGGTACTTAAATGTAATAATGTTTTTGTAAAAGCATTTGAATGGTAATAATTTCAATGCTGGAATTATTGATATTAAGAATCTAAGTGATAAAATTGTGAAGGACCATTTTGTGTAAATTGGAAAAATTGGTTCCAATGTTAAAAGGAATTATTAAGAGTTAAGTATTTTGATAGATAATGAGTATCAAAAATATTATGGATTTATTTTGGGATATGTTTATGTTAGTAAAATACTAACATATGTATCGTTATGAAATTGTGAATTATACAGATTATGATTGATTTGCGATTGAAACAAGTCAAGTGGGTTTATTGTGGACAATAGTGAGGCACAAATTTGGAAGAATTATAAAGTGTCAAGGTGAGTGCAATACATGCATGAAATTATACATGGATGTTTTATACATCATCAGGAAGACTTACGATAAGTCGACCTTGTTTATAGCAATATGATATTATGTCATCTATCATATATTTGACATATTCTAAATATGTCAAAGGTTGAATATAAAATGCATTGATCACTGATTGTTTCCTATGATGTTAACATGAACATATATGATTTTTATCATGAATGTTATTTCGGGTATGAACTACCCAATGTAAAATATTGATAATATACTTTGCCATGGATGGATCAAATAAAATATACTGTATGACCAAATAAGTCATTGAGGGACAGGGTATAGTTGGCATGCCATAGAGTCCAGCAGCAGGCTGCATATTTGGGAATACACTAAAGGATACCTAGTGTATATGGTGGGCACAACCTTATGTGTCATATTCGGGACTGTACTTAAGGATACCTAGTACAGATGGTGGACACGACCTTATGTGTCATACTCGGGATTGCATTACGGTGCATATATTTGACTCGTGTACCTAGGGTCCTCAGGGTTGTATATTGGGCTATTGTCTATTGTTTATGCCTATTGTCTATTGTATATGGTTATGGAATAATGGAAAGTGTATTGGTAAAAATAAGCTTACGAGCTTATGGATAAATGGTAAGTATATTGGTAAAATAAGCTTACGAGCTTATAAATAAATGGTAAGTATATTGGTAAAATAAATAAATGGTAAGTATATTGGTAAAATAAGCTTACGAGCTTATGGATAAATGGTAAGTATAATGGTAAAATAAGCTTACGAGCTTATGGATAAATGGTAAGTATATTGGTAAAATAAGCTTACGAGCTTATGGTATTAAATGGTAAATATTGCACATATATGTAACATGATTTTATGGCATTTTGATTTGGACATTGAAATTCATGCATGAATTGTATTGCATTGTCTATTGTTTTAATTGCCTCACTAAGTTTATACTTAGCGTGTGATGATTTTCACGCGTAGGTAAAAAGCCAATAATGAAATAAAGAGTTCAAAATGACATAAAGCATCGAGGAGTATATTTCAATATCAGTAAGACATTCTATGGTGTAATGTTAATTTTATTAGTGGCATGTATTCATTAATGTTCAATTTGTTTTGTTGAACAAAATTGGAAACAAAATGGAATTTTTATGAATCTATATGTATTTGATTTAAAACAAAATTTCCAGATTGCTTATGGGGTACCGATTCCCTCATATGGGAACTGATTCCCCCACTGTTCATGGGTACTGTTCACTGTTATTATTCACTATACATTGTTCACTGTTCACGAGTACTATTCATAAAAAATATTTTGAATTAAATTTGTTTATAACGAAATATAAATTATATGATATGATATTTTTATAATATCAGTTACCATTTTAAGAACATAAATTTTAAATCGCTTTTGACTTGTAAAATTATTTTAGAAATTCGGGTAACATCTATAATCTGTATAGGTATACTTATACGGGTTATGGGTGTTACAGATAGTATCGATACTACCAGTTGTTTTCCAAATTGTTCAAATTCCGCAATGCAAAATTGGTACCAATACTCAAGGGTACCAATAATACTTTACACTGTGGTATCGATACCATGAACCCTAGTATCGATATTGGTCGAGCCCAATGGTCTTTAACGACTAGTTTATTTAAATATTATAAAGGTAGTACTGATACTCATCAAAGTAGTACTGATACTCCCTGTTATGGACAGTTTTATTTTTGCAGAAAACTCATTCCCAACGGCTCCAAAACACCCCGAACGACTAGAAACAACCACAAACTCATTCTAACATATAAAAACAAGTTGAGGACACTTGAAGAATTTTACAATACCTATCAAAGTAAAAGACATCAAGAGAAAAGCTCTTTTACACTTTATTTTTCCTTTTCTCTTGTACATAAGTGTTTGAGCTCATTGTAAATCTTTCAATTGTTTTTCTTGTGGGCTTAATTCTTATAAGCATCTACCTTGTGAAGTTTTTCTTGTTTACATCTTGTATCATTTTTTTAAGAAGGGGAGTGGTTCTATCTTAGTCTTTGAAAAGGTAGAGTTTTGTAAAGGTTACTCTTGAGCCTATATAAAGAAAGAACAAATTAGTGAATTTGTTAGAAAATCCTTAGTGTAGAGATAAGGTAGTGGATGTGGACTTGGTTTAGAAGTCAAACCACTACAAATCCTTGTGCAAATTGTCTATCTCTTTTTACTCCATACCCAAAATTTTCAAAAGGTTAATTCACCCCCTCTTGGCACTTTTTCTGTTGATAAATTGAGCTTCATCAATCCAAAGAGTATTGTTACTCCAATGGTTAAAAATCATTTTTGATTCGATTAAAGTTTGAAACCCTTAAAAAATTATTCTAAAAAAATTTAAATATTTGAATGTCCTAATTGAATATAATCTTAAAAATTGTTAATCATTTTTGGTATATCAAAGCATGTTCAATATTCTCTCTAGAGATTGTGAGTTTGAGCAGATGCGTATGTAGAATGTGAGTGCGTTGCAATTTATTAAGAAAATTTTGAATAGATATTATGGTGTAATCATCCTTTTTTATATCTGATCAAAATTTAAAGTTATCTGATATAGTGAGATGATTTTATACTATGGTTAGTTGATATTATTAATGCAAGTAATATATTTAGAATTTTGGTACACTCAACTATCAAACAAAAATTAACAAATTAAAATTATTTTAAATATTGGATCAATTGCCATCTTTATTCTCAAGTGAGAAACATGTGGTATACACACAGCGTAAAAGAAAGAATGTAACAATAATAAAAGGAGTGCATATGGGAAGAAGGGGGGAGGGGAAACCTAATTGGTGGGGTCAAAAGACAAGTGAGGAAATGCAATAAATCTAAGAAGGGAGAGTCTTAGGAATTATTAATGATAAGAAGAATGACCACCCCTAGACCTGAAATAAAACAAGTTGCATGGGATTCCCCTATTTAAGAAGGCCCTCTCATTGCTTTTTGGACCACCCCATCTGCTCTTGTCCCTATCGCAAATGGTGCCGACATCACCCTGTTAGCCTCTAGGTAGCAACCACCATGATTTGGCTTCACCAACTTTCATCTCATTTTCCATCTCTTATTTGTTTCCATTATTTAAATGTATTCCCAAGATAGAGGAACCGATTCTATATATCGAACTTCAAAATCGAACTCAACTTGAATTCATAGGGTACAGAAAACCCGAACTCGAACTCAAATTTACTTTTGCATTTCAAATATGATTGTATTGCCTGAACAAAATGCTTTACAACAAGAAATTTAAGACCTATAAGTAAATATTGCTAAAGCACACAACTGAAATTCATGCCAATTTGTGTCTATGCAACACGCACTGACTATTCTTCTTCAATCACCAGTGCCATGAGTTTTTTCTTTTCATTTTTTTGGTATGAATGTGGAGCTTTCTTCACTTTGGTAGCATCAACAAACAAAAATGGTGATGCTAATCACAACAGCCCTTTCAGGATCTTTATAATTGTTGGAAACTACAATTGCCATTCTCAGTAAGGAGATTCATGCGATGGATTATCTGCATGCATGTCCATTGAGGTACCGTTGGAACTAAGAGGGTTGAGATCCTGAGTCTGGTGCTGGAGAAAGTAGAATTCGTTATCTCTGACTCCGTTTCCTGCAGGCAGACCACCATTAGGATAGTAACCTTCCTGAGAAATGTGATAATGCTGAAGACTCCGACGAACAGGGCTCGATAAGGCATTTGAGAAAACAGAATTTTTCGGCTGCTGATCACAATGGTCAAGGCAAGTTCCCTGCACAGACGTTTGGTCAGATGAGCCTGAAGAGACCATGAAATTGGGATTCATGAACGGTATTGTAGGCTGGGGTTTCTGCTGTTGGCTTGGTGCTCTAGGTGACATTGATGGCTCCTCACCACAGGAGTCTAGTTCAGTCTGCGGGGAGATTATAAAATTATTCAGATTTTCAGAACATAATAAAAATAAGAGAAAATAACCTCAGTGACCGAAAATTCCTTATAATATACGATTTTGACCAACTTTTTTTCGATTTGCCAAAATGACCAACAAAATCGCAATGCGATCTCTAAGTCGCAACGCGATCTCCAGTATCGCAAATCAGTTTCCAGATTCGCAACGCAATTTTGACTATTACAATGCGAATATGTAAATCGCAACACGATAATATATAGTCGCAACGCGATTGTGACTATTGCAACACAATTCTGACTATCGCAACGCGATAATACAAAATCATAATGCGATTTTCAAAGCGCCATTAGTATCGCAACGCGTATTTTATTTTCAAATTCCAAACACGAATATTAATACATCCTGTAATCGTAACTCTTAACCTAAAAACCTATATCACAACTCAGTCACATCTCCATTCTCACTCTCTATGGCGACATCCGTCCCCATATCCAACAAAATCCATCCCCATCTCCGACGAAATCCGTCTATCTCCATCTCTCAGAGCTACCCTCACAATCATTCACGATCAGAAATGGAAAATCAATCAAATCAACCACCGAGTGTTAGTTTTTTTAATTATTTTTATTTTGAAATTTTTGCATTATTATTAGGTTTTTCATATTGAAATTGATGATAAGTTTACTGGTAATTTCAATAATAGATTAACCATTTCACTTAGATTGCTTATTAAATTCATTCGATTGCTGTCAATACTGCTAAAATGTTTAGTCTTTAACCCTGTAAAGTTAGTATTTATCTTTGTTTTGTCTTTTGGTTGAAGTAATGCAATTCATTCAAGTTTCAATTTTAGACAATGACTATTTGAAACCGAGGATCACAACGCAAAATGAAAATCGCAACGATAGTCAAATTCACGTTGCGATAGTCATTTTCGTGTTACGATTTTCATTTCGCGTTGCGATTATCTCGTTGCGATAGTCAAATTCGCGTTGCGATAGTCATTTTCGTATTGCGATTTTAAGTTTCAGAAACTATTATTCTTCTGCAATTTGAAACTTGAATGAATTGCATTACTTCAACCAAAAAACAAAGACAAATACGAAATTCACAGTGTTGCAAATTTAAGTTTGAAGAATAAACTACTACTACTCTTTATTGTTTTTGGTATATCTTCACAGTGTAGTTTTTAATCTAACTTGGTATGTTTATTGTTTTTGTAAAACTTTTTTTCGGCTCAATTGACCTTAAGGAATAAAATAAGCCTAGTCACTACAATTACGTCGAAGCTTTCACCTGTACAAAGAACATTGTTTGAGGATACTTGCTTCGGGCCATGGCTGAAAGTACAACATCCGGGTGGAGATGCTATGTTGACCCATTTGTGGCTTCAGACCATGACTAGCGATCTACCCGAGAGTATAAAATGTGGTAATGAAGATATATGGTTTCATTTTCCACCGGCGTATACGTGTTTTGGGCGGGAGGAGTTTTGCTTAATCATTGGTCTACGCTTCGGAAACGATGATGTAGGTCGATACACTAGTCATATTACTCACCCATCATGGTTATCCCGGGTTTTTCCTGAGCTGTCAATGGAGAAGCCAAATTTATACGACGATGACTTGACGAGATTATTGAATAAGAAAGATGGTTTTACTCGGATGGATAACGTCGATGTTGTCCAAGTATGCCTTTTAGTACTTTTTCATGCCGACTTTTTAGGCAGAGAGGCCAGACAACCTATTCCTAAGGACCTAATATTATTGGTAGAGGACTTAAATGCATGGAACCTGTTTCCGTGGGGTTCGTATCTATGGAAAGCTACCTGGAACAAGTTTTCGTCTGCCTTTGATGTCCGCAAAAGTTTGCGTGGAGATGATTCCAAATACACTTTGTCAGGCTTTATTTGGGCCTTTAAGGTAAGAATTTCTATATAATGTTTCCAAAATTATAATTAATTATTTAAAAATTACTAATGTTTGTGTATTATATTGTTTTTTTAGATTTGGATATTTGAAGCTTTTCCCGACATGCAGACATATGCATTAAAAACTTCAAATGATATTCCTAGAGCTATTTCTTGGAAGAGAAAACGGCGGCTGTTGATTTGGGAAGAGTTACTACGGTATACGACAATAAATGATGTAAGTTAACACAAATACTACTATATATAAACAAGTTATTACTAGTACATGTTTACCTTTGTTTGAGTTTTTATATTGTTAGGAGGCCAACACTCCATTACAGAGGCTGACACCCACGGAGGCTGAGCTTGCCACTGATTGGTGGCAAGCTAGCAAGCGTTTTTTTGATGGCACGGATGATGAGCAGCCTCCACTTCGAGAGCCATCACCTCACCTAGAGCCATCACCTGATCGACCACACTTACCTCTACAACGAGAGCTATCACCTATTCCGTCACATCATCGAGCCTCTTCTCCACCATCACCTCATGATAGGCGACCGGAAAAGATGCCACGACATTTATCTCCCTGTTCTCCACCTCCACGGGATGAGTTAGGGGAGTTACGTGATGAGGTCAATGCCTTGCGTGAGGAGGTCGGTATTTTACGCGATGACAATGGTGCATGGCGTGACGAGGTATCTACTTTACGTGGTGAGGTAGCGGCTCTATGTGAGATGGTAGCATCGTTGCAGAATGAGGTTCATACTCTACGCAATGAGGTAAGTTTAAGATTTTTTATATTTAACTTGATTTACTCGTAATTTCACTTAGATTAACCATTTCAATTAGATTGCTTAGTAAATTCATTCGGTTGCTATCAATACTACTAAACAGATCTAAAATAACCCTGTGAAGTTAGTATTTGTCTTTGTTTTGTCTTTTGGTTGAAGTAATGCAATCCATTCAAGTTTCAATTTGCAGAAGAAGAATAGTCGTAACACGAAACTTAAATCGCAACGCGAAAATGACTATCGCAACACGGAAATGACTATCGCAACGCAAATTTAGTTTCGCGTTGCGATTTTGGTTTTGCGTTGCGATTTTAAGTTTCATAAACTATTCTTCTTCTGTAAATTGAAACTTGAATGGATTGGATTACTTCAACCAAAAGACAAAGACAAATACTAACTTCACAGTGTTGCAAATTTAAGTTTCAAGAATAAACTACTACTCTTTATACTGTCCTTGAACATGCACTAAACCTATATGTTGTCCTTTTAAATGTTTATAAGTGCTTACTTCTGGAATGTTATCTGATGCATTTTGTGAACTATGATAGAATAATGACTTGGGTGAATACCGTGCAAGTTTGAAACATATTTGTCTTTGTTTTCACTGTTTAATATCATGTCTATTTATTTACTGATTTATATATTAATTTATTTTTAGCGGCTCGATAAGGTGGATGCTTTATGTCGGGTTTTTCTTACACAACGGGGTTCACGCATCAGACGACGTACACATGTCATTACGTCTCCGTTCACCCCAATAGTACGAAGACTCCGTAAGAAGAAGCCCGACTCACCTGTCATCGTTCAAGAGGCCTCTCCTATCATTCAAGAGGCCCCTATCATCCCTCAAGAGTCCCCTCCCACCGTTCAAGAGGCCCTGTCATCGTTGAAGAGGTCCTTTACACCATTCAAGAGCCCGATTCATATGGCGTAATATGTCGAATTATTGAGAAACCCCCTCACGTGCCGGACATGATGGATGATTGTTGGCTTTCGTATGAGTTACCGGCCATTACCATTCCAACAGATGAAGTGGAGAGGAAACAACTACCAGAAACAATTCTGGATAATACCCTTTGGGCTAAGACCGCAGTTGATTTTTATCTACATGAGCGGAGCCAAGGGTGTTACGCTGTCATATACAAACTCAACGATGATATGCATTTGTTGATTGATCGGTCTTGGTGGGGTGTGTTATTAGGGGTTGAAGACAAAGGCTATTTCGATGGGGGGTAAGTCTTATATTTCTTCTTATATTTCATTTTGATTAATTTTTTTTTAAAATTTATGTAATTCACTAATATATGTCTTTTTTTGTAAAATAGCATATTGATGCATGGGTTCCACGTCTTCTAATAGTAAGGAAATTGAAGAAAAATAAAAAAATATGTGATATACAATTATGCCGACGTCTTTTCACGTAGTTCACTTGAAGAATCAACGACAGGAATCATATGTGTTGGCTAATGGACAAGCTAAACTTTATCCTGCATGGTGGGAGATCGATAAGGTTAGTATTTATTTTTTTTAAATGTTTTAAAGGTGTTCATAAATAAGTGCGCAATTTGAATTATTACTTATGATTGCAGGTGTTTATCCCTGTTTTGGAACGTACTCATTGGCTTCTCGTCGAGCTTGAGCTCCCATCCCTGAAGACAATAATATATGACAGCATGATAAATTACATATCATTGTCTTATTTAAGAGATATTATTAAGGGATGGAGCTCTGATTTGGCTAAATTCTTGGATGCGATTAATTATTGGACTTATTCTGGAAACAAGAAGCTAAAAAAGTTCAATGTTACAGTTATCAGAGACGAAACCGCGCCACAAAAAACGCCGGAAGCCAGAGGGGATTGTGGTCCTCTCGTATGCATGTGCTTGGAGCGTTTGATGATAGGAAGTACACAGTTTCTACCTCCCACCGATAGAGATAAAGGTGCAGTAAGCTTGTGGTTTCGGCATTTTATAGCTAGAGCGATATATACGAGACGCTGCCTACCTGCATCCGCGTTATGAAAGTGTCCATAAACAATTTGTAAGTCAAATGCAAGTGTTGTTAAGTACCTAGAATTCAATAATAATTTTCTGTTTGTTGGTTTTAGATGTGTAGAAAGTGTTATTTGAGCAAATGTTTGGTTTCTGCAGGTTAATCCTGAAGTGAGCTGCGTGAAATTGATGTATGGTAAACAACTGTCTGGGGTACACTTTTTTTGATTGTTTAATTGATTCTTAAAAGTCTGATTTGTTTAATTGATGACGAAAATAAGAATTATTATCATTTTTTACTTGTTTAATTAA